CTAAATGTCTTGGCCTTGTCTTGGTCTTGATCTCTGCCTCTAATTGTCTTGGCCTCTAAATGTCTTGGCCTTGTCTTGGTCTTGATCTCTGCCTCTAATTGTCTTGGCCTCTAAATGTATTGGCCTTGTCTTGGTCTTGGCCTTGGCATCTATATGTGTTGCCTTGGCCTCTTAATGTCTTGGCTTTTCATGGTCTTAGTCTCGGCCTCCAAATGTATTGGTCTCGGCCTCCAAATGTATTGGTCTCGGCCTCCAAATGTATTTTTCTTGACCTCTAAATGTCTTGGTCTTGACCTCTAAATGTCTTGGTCTTGGCCTCTAAATGTCTTTGTCTTGGCCTCTAAATGTCTTGGTCTTTGCCTCTAAATGTCTTGGCTTTGTTTTGGTCTCTACCTCTAATTGTCTTGGTTTTCTCTAGGTCTTTGCCTTTAAATATCTTGGTCTTGTCTTGGTCTCGACCTCTAAATGTCTTGGTTTTCATTTGGTCTCGTCCTTTAAATGTCTTGGTCTGGTCTCAGCCTCTAAATGTCTTCATCTTGGTCTCAGCCTTTAATTGTTTCTGTCTTCTCTTTGCCTTTAAAAGTCTTGGTTTTAGTCTTGGTCTCTAAATGTCTTGGTCTTGGTCTCGGGATTTAAATGTCTTGGTCTTGGTCTCGGGATTTAAATGTCTTGGTCTTGGTCTTGGTCTCTAAATGTCTTGGTCTTGTTCTTGGGATTTAAACGTATTGGTCATGGTCTCGGGATATAAATGTCTTGGTCTTGGTCTCAGGATTTAAATGTCTTGGTCTTGGTCTCAGCCTCGGCCTCTAAATGACTTGGTCATGTCTTGGTCTCTGCCTGTAAATGTGTTGGTTTTGGCCTCTAAACGTCTTGGTCTTGTCTCGATACGCCTTGGTTTCGGTTGGTGTGGTCTTTACTACAACACTACACATGTACTTGCTTATATATGTACACTGGTGTGCAGTTTTAGTGGTGCTGAGGCTCTGCATGTACAGTATGTCTATGCAAGGAGGGAATTCTCATTGGAAGAGGTAGGGGGCTGCTACATCAAACAATGTAACCTGTAAAAAGGATTGTGGCTAAAGACTGTCTTGCAAAAGAAAGAAAAGCTTTCACTGTACTTCAAGAGCAATTTACACTTTTATAATTACACATACAAACATAAGCAAATTGTCTGGTTATTTTTCACTATAGGGTTGGGTGATAAATGGATCAAAGAGATTGATCTAATTTTCTTTTCCAGAAGATTTAATTTTTTGAAAATCTAGATTTTTCCTTTCCCAGTAATGCACTTCTTGGGCTTTCATACCTCCCTGTGACATCAGTTAATCTCTTTTTGTTCTTAGATGTGGACGCCTAACTGATAAACTAGCTAACTGTGCCACACCACTAGCTGCAAACATACATTTCCATTTTTTGTTGTAAATCCTTTTTAACAAGCATTTTTACAGCATTAATTTATTTACCCTTTAAATTTAGATCAGTTTCCAAAGAGGGTGCTTGATATAAAAGTTTATTTTTTAAGTAATGTGTTTAATCATTTTTGTCATTTTATTATGAAACAAGAGAAACATATTTTTAATCAGATTTGGTAAGAAAAAAAATAATTACGATTTTTAAGCCATATCACCCAGCCTTATTTTGTATCTTATAAAATATGATAGTTAGGCCTGTTTTTTAGTGCTTACTCCTGTTTCTCTCTTAGACATAGCCATAGGCTCAGCTTTTACTCTGAATAAGTGTATGTGCTTTCTTTCATCTCTTTGACATGGAAACTGGCTAGGAGCTCTTCTGCTTAACTCTTTCTTTCCTAGACAGCTATGGAGCTAGTTTATCCTTACATTTTCTAGCATAAAAAGTATTGATAGATTATTGCTTCTCTACTTTGTTCTATGTCTTTTTCTGTCTCCTTGAACTCCAGCTGGCCTCGGCTGATAGCCACTCACATTTAGCCTGGTTCTTCTGGAGGTTCCTTCCTTGTTAAAAGGGAGCTTTGCCTCTCCACTGTGCATCATGCATGCTCAGTGCAGGGGATTGCTGTAGAATCAACAAAAAGTGTAAACAAATAACTTCTCTCACCACATCCTTACCCAGAAGAAGCGTGTCCTGCAAGTTAATGAACAATTTGAACCAAGCAGATTGTTTTATCTATTTGAATTGTCTCTGTAATATGCATTACGATACCCTGTGTTATGCAATGGCGCCTAAAACAGGCAAAGATGAATAGAAAACCAAAAAGTTTTAGCATGACTCTATAGCATGCCACCCTGATCATTGAGAAGGATATTAGTTAAGGTATTCTCTGGATAGTATTTCAGAATAATTCATTGTTTTTCTATATCTGGGATAACTTAAAAATGAAACAATAAAACTGCTTGTTTCTTTTTGTTTTGTTTGCTAGCTTCATTGGTGAGGAGTCAGTAGCTGCTGGTGCTCCCAGTGTTCTCACCGACAATCCCACTTGGATCATTGACCCCATTGACGGCACCACCAACTTTGTGCACAGGTACTACAAACCAGGGTTTAATGCTCTCCTAGATGCCGAAAATTGCTCTGTCTCTGTTTTATCTCCGACCCTCTTTAACTATTTTTATCTTTTAATTAGCTTCCTTTACTTAGATTGTCCTCTCTTGGATTGTCTTCAGGGATAATTAGATGAAAACTGATCTTATAATAGAAGCTAACTCCTTAGAGCCTGATTCCTACAGGGAGTTCATTAAACGGATGTTTTATATTGTTCATTTCTGTTGGTTAGGTTCCCCTTTGTGTCTGTATCAATCGGCTTCACAGTGAAGAAAGAGGTAGGTCTTAATGTATGCAAATCTCATGTTTATTCTCCCGCTGTGATTTTCTTGATTATAATAGACATTAACCCCATTGTCGCCTTTTCAGTCTCTGCATAGTGATGTTGAAATATTCTCCTTGTTGTGCAGCTGCGATTCTGTTTTTAGCACTCCTCCCACGCAGCTTTAATCAGGGCCTTTTCTGCACTGCCTTTTGCTCCCAGATAGAGTTTGGGATTGTCTACAGCTGTATAGAGGACAAGATGTACACTGCACGGAGGGGGAAAGGAGCTTTTTGTAACGGATCCCCTATCAAAGTTTCCGGACAGGAAGGTGAATATGTATGGTGTAGTTACAAATTAACCCACTAGGTGGAGCTATTCGTCTATTAAAGATTTTTGACTGAATGATTTTTTTTTTTTTTTGTTTCCCTTCAAGATATAAACAGGTCTTTGGTGCTGACTGAAATGGGTTTCAAGAAGGAACCTGAAAGCTTCAAAACGATGCTGGCCAACATAAAGACAATCCTCACCATACCGGTTCATGGGTAAATATTAGTCTGAGAAGGTTGTGACCTGATAACAAAAAAAAAACAAAACAGAAAAACGACTGAAGTATAGGAATCACTATATTAGAGGTGATCTTATATATAAGGACTTCAGGAACTGTTTTTGTGACTAAAGCACCTTTTATTGGTTATCTAAAAAGATTTTTGATGCTCCAAAAAGTTTCAGATAAGTCCTTCTGAGGTTTTTGGATTTGAGCACACATTCTTTTTTTAAGGCAGAATGTTCAGATTTATGATCCCAGTTCTTAGATCAGGTCAACCATGTATGCTACCTGACTTTAATATGGATTTAAACCTGTTGTAAGTGGGAGTTTTTTTTTGTTTGAGGACAAGATGTGAAAAGTCTAACCTGGAGAATAGAACCCTTATTCATAACATATATAAACAGTGTTGTTTTCGTCAACGATAAGGATGTCGAAATCATTCCGTTGATGCTTCTTTTTTTCATGGTGATAATGAGAACTGATGAGCTAAACATGGATCTTTGTTGATGAAAACTTGGGCATGAGTTTTAGTCAACGAGATGAGACGAGACTAAATAGAAATTAGCGGCTAGTCGTTCAGACATTTAAACCGCATCATTGTGCTGTGGGGGGGAAATAATTCATAATGGTCTAGGTGTCTGACAAAACACCGGTACAGCACGCTGAACTCTGACAATCTGTTCTTCCATCCGAGCTTGTGCAGAAATTCATCTTTGTGCGCGCGTAGCTCTGAGTCTGCGCTTTATGCTCCACACTGATGGTTCGCTCTCAACATGTATGGCTCCTCCTGCTCTTGCTACTTAATAAACTATATGTGATTGATCGTCCTCTGCCAAGCGTAAAAATCCCTACTATCAAGATGTTATTTTAAATGGCCCAAATCTTGGAGGGTCAATGATGTCATTTTCTCTAACTAATATCTCCAGACCTCTGGAGAAACGGCACAAACACACCATTATAGACAATACTAAAGAGTTAGCAGAAGTTTTTAATTTTTTTACTGATTTATCCTTATTGTCCTACCAGACAACTTTTCTTGTCTCCCCTAATTTCAAGAGTGCCTGGATTAAAAAGCACCAAGTCCTCAAACATTCCCCACAATGCCTAACTTTAGACGGAGACATTTCTCACATATCCAGAATCTGAATTGATTTTTGACAAAAGATAAGAAACTTGGAGGTAAATCTCAAATTTAATAAAATATGTTTACTTTTGTTGCTTACCATGTTTTCCGGACTATAGAGACAACCACAAAATAAGCTGCGCACACTTAATTTGGAAACATGTAAGCTTCACTGACTATAAGCCACTGATATCTACTGAACTGTCTCCAACCAAACCTGTAGAGTAGGTACAAAGATGCTAGCTCCCCTTAGCTTGTTGGCTCACGGCAGTAAGAGCTTCTACTGAAAGATCGGCTTTCTCAGCTCTTTATTTCAGCACTGCAGTCAAGCCCACTCTCTTCATTGGTTCAACAGCTTTAATGTGTCAAATATATTTCAAAATGTGCAAATTCAGGACATTTTTTTCTCTGGCGTGCCTGCTGGTAGCATATTCTTGTGCTAAATGAAAATTAGCCTCTTATTCTTTCATTTCCATTTCCAATCTTTTATTTTAAGCCAAATGGTTCAAACAGTGGGAAAATAGTAGCAGCTTATTGTCCAGAAAATATCGGTATCTTTGGAAGTGAGTTTCATACATCAGATAAATCAAATACACATTAAATTTAAATGGAACACCTTTATTTCTGGGATATTTCATAACTGCAGATTATGATAAAAATACAATCAGTGTCTCAGAATTTTGGGATTGTGTTAAAGTTTCACTCCCTGAGGTGAGTGAGAGAAAATATTGAACACTTACTAGCTTACCCATTCCCACCATCCATCTCCGTCTGTGTTGGTTAGATAAACTTTGGTCATTGTTCCCATTTCTATGGATGTAGGTCACTTGCCTTTTTCCTTGTTGTCATTCCCCGAATCATTACAAGATCAACACATCTTTAACTTGAATTGAATGTTTGATTTTTCTCTATTTTTAAGAGTAGCTAAAAGGAACAAGATAGGAAGTCATAGGGTACTAATTAAAAGTTCTTAAATGCTTTGACGAACTTCAAAGATTTGAAGTGTAAATTCTGAAAATGCTCAGTTCCTTTTTTCTTTTACTGGAATCATTAGTGGTGCTAGTAGTTGCTTTAACAATGATTTTCATAAGAAGAACAAGAAGAAAAAAAATCAGTGATTATGATACAGCAATACATTCTGGATTTATTTTGAGTCTGTTTACATCTTTGCCAGTGGTGTTAAATGAATGTAGAGGACGCTTTGTGGCTCCTCTTCTTTCTGCCCCTGGATCATTGGGATGTTGGGTTTGAATGCAGCTCATCAGCTCTAATAAGCAGGGAACTTATTATACTCCGAGCTTTGATCCATCTCTCCAAAAAGGACTTTAATGAACAACCTAAAGTCGTGCACAAAAGACCCCAAAAATTACAGCAAATGTTGAAAAGGGGAAACTTTTTCACCTTCGCCCTGCATACCCTTACCGCTCACGGTCTCAATCAGTAGTGTGGCAGCGCTCATTTCTTGTTAGAGTAACGCTAAAGGAAATTTTAAAGGAGCTCTAATATGCTAACATTAAAGCTTTTATTGCATAGGAGGACTCATAAAATGAATTCATCAAACATATTTTTGTATACCAATCTCTGTATTTCTCCAAAGGTTGAATAAATGTTAGAGACAAAAGCAAAAACAGTTTCTAATGTTTGTGTCGTATCCTTTAAATAGCCTGAGAACACCGGAAACATGTGATCCCAATGAGACGTGTGTAAAAATGATTTAGTTATCCAACTTTTTAAGCTTTCAAACTAATATGAAACAAAGCACTGCATATGAATAAATCATTTAAAAGCCTCTGCTGTCCTCCAGCTTCTTCTGCCTTATTGTTGTGCACAGCCCGTCTTTTTCCTTTGGCTTTCTGACAATAAAAGCCACCTGCTTCTTATTGTTCCCTCAGAATGAAAGTGAGTAGTGCAGACTCATGTCATAGCAATGAAAAATAGAAAGAACAACAGTATGTAATACCAAAGAGCTGTTCTGCATGAGAAATCATAAGGATGATTGTTGCTCATTCATAATTCAAACTAAAAGCTCAAACTAAATGTCCCTGTTTCCTTCCCCAGAATACGCTCTCCAGGCAGTGCGGCCATCAACATGTGCCTGGTGGCGTGCGGCTCGGCGGATGCTTACTACCACATGGGCATCCACTGCTGGGACATGGCTGGAGGGGCAGCCATCGTTACTGAAGCGGGGGGAGTTATCATGGATATTTCCGGTAAAATCACTGATTTAATACCTGCTGACGTAGAATAATCGGAAAATTACACTGCGTTTCACAGTGACTTGTCTCTTAGAGGATCACAGGGTTTACAGAGCTGCCAAGACATTTCATTTCAGTGACTCCTCTTTGAAAACTTGCACATCTTTCTCATTCCTGAAACTCTAGTAAATCATTAACTAATTTGTCTGTAAGATATCCAACACTTCTCTGGAGAAACACATTTTTGCAATCTCCCCAATAGGCTACAGTTTGCTCTTCTGGAAAATCTCCAAAGGGATATTATCAGAGGCTGACATTATCATAGCCACCAGATCTCCTTAGGCTTTTCCTAGACACCCTTAACCCCCATCCCAACACTCCACCCCACTCTAGGAACTGTCTTTCCAAACTGGTCATACCGGAGGAGCTGATCCTAACAGCAGTTGACAAATCCCAACCCAGGAACTGAAACCTGTTTGTCAAAGTAGTTCAAGGAGCAGTTTGGTTTGAATCTGAGTTGCTGCTTTATGCACATTTCAGACAGAATGGTGTGGAGCCGATGCCTGTTTAGCCCATCACCTACAAAGGAAGCTTTCGCAGGCAATTTTCTTTGAGGGGCTAAAAGAGGTCAAGGCACCACTTCACTTGGAATAACTTTCTATTTATTCTGCATGTGCTGTGCATCAAGAGGTTTGCTCTTTGGAAAGTGAAAGCCACCTTTGTGCTGTGCTGAACATGCTGCGATGCACAGGGAACACGCAGACGCAGGAGACCTCTGGCTGCTGTCCACTAAGCCAAATGTAGCCGTCACTGTGGAAACGGAGCTCTGTCAGGAGCCCCAAACAGCTTCTTAAATCTTAGCATCACTGCTTTCTCACCTCTGTTTTTTTTTTGTGTGCCTTTTTTGTCTTGTAGCTGAAAAAGTTTTAAGTTATTAAAGAAAAAAATGCACTGTAGTCCTCTGAGATGTGATTACATTCTGAAAAAGACTTCCAAGTACCTGGTTAAAAGCCCGCGGTCTGCAAATCAGGGCCCCTGAGTCCTGAACTTAAGCCTGATAAATGTTTGACACCTCCAAGATGCCAAATTACGTCTCTGGCTTCTATACCTATAGCATGGACAGAATATCAGCACTGTGGTCTAAGCAGACAGCACGGAAAAACATGGTGGCCTAGCGACACCTCAGCCAACATGTGAAAGATCTGTGGACAGGAATCACTGTCACTCTTGGATGACATAAAGAGGCTTTGGATAAAGAAGAAAACTGAGGTGTTTTAGCGTTATGTTGGCAATAATGTGTTTCTGCTGTACACAAATATATAAGGTAGAAGTGGAAAAGCCACATGGCGTATAAAAGCTGTAGACTTTTTCTCCGTGCGTCTCTAGCAGAGCATTCATGTCTCAAGCAGAAACAACCTTTACCCCCAAATTGCTCCACTGAGGCCTCAAGCTGCCCCCTAGAGGATGGGTTAAATGCAGAGGTTACATTTCTAATGATCTATATGAATAAAATTGATTATAGATAATCTGAAATTCACAATGAAGTACAGGAATCACTATGCTTATTTACATGAACTAAGTATTAATCATGAACAGGCAGTTGGGATAAAAATGCGTCATTTGAACGATCAAAAGGTAATGTGGGGTTCATCTCAACAGGAATGAAGATGTCTGCTGAACAGTAGTACTTTAAAAAAAATACTTAATCTAAATAGCATCCACACTGCAAAAAATAGAAATCTCAATAAGTTATTTTTTCTTAAAATAAGTGTGTTTTTCCTTGATTTGAGGAGGTAAGCAAGACGGTTGGCCAATGGAACAAGACAATTTCCTTTTAAAATAAGAAAAAACTATTTTATCGTCTTATTTCAAGTAAATATTATCTAACTATCTTATTTTAAGAGTAAAAATACTCATTCCATTGGCAAATCATCTTATTTACCTGCTCAAATTAAGGCTAAATATACTTAATTTAAGCCATTTTTTACTTATTTCTGGATTGTTTTTGCAGTGATATCAGACTGACCTGTCTGACTCTGTTTGGAGGAAGAGGAAGCAGTAACAGCACCACCAGACTTTAAGGGAACTTAGATTCCTGCCCCTCTCTCTCTTTCTGTAACCTTTTAGTTGCTGAGCCAGAAGATTGGTCATGGAACTCAAGAATGCCTAAAATGCTCTCAGAAGTAGGGCTGCAACTAACAAATATTTAGCAAATCGATTAATCAGTCGATTTGTCTTTTTGATTAATCGATTAATAATCGGATGCAAGACGTTCCTCAAAAGAATATTTTTTACAGAATTAAACCAGGTTAAACTAAAACTACTGGATAGAGCTTATTGACAGATAAAGAAGGTTGTTTCTTTTCATCTAAAATGAAGAATATATATATATTTGTTAAATATTGGTATAATTACTGCTCTAATTTGGTTGCTCTACCAGCTAAAGGCATGTTTTAGAGTCTCTATACTCCAGTTAACCGATTACTAAATTAGTTGACGATTATTTCAATAATCAATTGCTTCAGCTCTTTTCAGAGGCTAGCTCGGGTCTGTTCTGGACACTTGGAAGACACACAAAATACTTTAATCCCCTCTATTTGTACAGCACAGACCAAATACTAGTTTTTCTCCTGTGTTTGGTTTAGATAAATTACACATTTCACCACATATCAGAGTGCTTTATTCTTACTAAAGGTGCCGGTAAAACCACATCAAGATGCCCTATATAAGAGTTGTGTACTGATTGATTATGCTTTTCAATCTGTGAACTTATTCATTGCCTAACCAACCTCAAAATAAATAAGTTATTTTGTTGAAGGACTATTTGTAATCATTTTATTGAACAACATCCAAGTGTGTTTTCCTTATATAAACAGCAACTTGCACCTCCAGTGTCTTTCCATGTGAATAGAAATGTTAGAAATGTCAAGATGTGAGGCAGCAGCAGGTGTCGGGATATTCACAAGCCCCCGGCTGAGCACAGCTGTGTTTGAGGTCTCAGCAGAATGGAAAATGCCACCGTAGAGTACTTGATCTTCTTTTGCCGTCTTCTCCTACTCTTTTCTCTCGCTTTGTCCAGATTTTCTACAACCTGCACAATTCAGTCAAGATGTTAAGAAGGTACACTTTGTTTCAGGGCAAACATCCGGACGGCAGACAAATCCTAATTTCCTGTGTCATTTTCTTAAAGCAGATGCAGATGGGAGTGGGAATTGGATTTATTGAAATGTTAACATTTCTAAGCCTTTTTCCTCATCAGGTTTCCAAAGGTCACAAATCTAACAATGCTTAATCTTAATCTGCTTAATGCTTTGATCTTTTACAGACAGTATGGACCCATCACTCATTGTTTTCCAAACAACTTAATATGTTACAGATTTCATTTATTTTATATCTTCCACATACAGTAATTTCCTGATTATTTAACTGCTTGCATCATAATGGAAAATGTGCTTATTTTTATTCCTGTCTCCCTTCACCAGGTGGGTCGTTTGATCTGATGTCTCGCAGACTGATTGTTGCCAGCAGCAGGGCTATAGCCGAACGAATTGCCAAGGAGATAACAGAGTTTCCCGTTGGCAGAGACGACACAGAAAGCCAGTAAACCTCGCCTCTTTCCTCTGCAGCCACGTAAAAACACACACAGCTGCTTTCAGCATAGCAGGTGTCGCGTCCGTTTTTGCCTTAAGAACTAAAATGATGCAGTTACCTCTGAAAAACAGCAGGCGGGTTTAAAGCCATTTTTTCCTTCTGCATACCAGTACTTATGCATCCACAGCTTCACCTATGTTGTTGTATGTATTGTATTTTATCTAATCACTCCGCCATGTTATTTATTTTGCAACTAGAAACAAAAGTGAGGATTCTTTGTAAAAACAGAATAAGAAAAATACCTCAAATCATTTCATCTCTTAGATTTAGATAGTGACTTTAACACTTACTGACCCCCTTAAAAAATGTGTTAAAAAAGAAGAATAAAACAATTTATTCAGCCATTATAGTATGTGACTTCATGTTTTAAACATACACAATAGTTTAAGTTGATTATAGTGTTGAAGGACCTTTGAATAGCAGTGAAACTATATTAATAGTGTACAAATCTGCCACGAGTTAGGCTGTCGTCACTCTTTTAATAGGAAAGATCTGCTGATCACCATAAGAAATGGCTTCAAGAATAGAATCACTAAACCTAACCCTGCTAATATCTACAGTCACAGCAATGACAAAAATGCGTATATGACTGGAGCTGTCACAAATGAGACAGGAAGAAATCCCAAATTTACGCTGTGAGATTTTGGGCTCAGTATTGTACGAGCTACTGGGCGCTATCAAGCTATCCATCATTTCTGCAGGTTCCTAGAAAAAAAAGAAATATCTTAAATATATTAACCTTCATTGCTTTTCCACTGAAAAGTCCAGATTGTGTCCAGATTTGCCATACTATGTCTGGAATAACAAATAATAATATATTAGATTTGCACATTTGTTCATTTACCGCTTCATCAACCATCAGAATGTTTACTTTGACCATAAGCTAGTTTCTGCCTTGATTGGATTTTTGTCTGTTTAGACAATTATAACTAAAACGCTCATGTTCAGTCATCCAGTGCTAGCTTTAAAAAATAAAAATGTCTATATTTTACTTTTTGGCTTGTTGTTAAGCTTACAGTGAGAAAGGAGTTCAAGTTGGGTAACAAAGGTATAAAAGCACTGGATGCTAGAGTCAAAAAAGATTATTTTAGTTTACTATGTTAAATAGGTGAAGGTATAACGCAAAGGAGTTAGATTCTTTTTTTTATTTGTTGCTGCTCCTTAAAGGGATATTGTGTAAGAACTTCTCTTTTTTTGCCGTCTGAAATCTATTTCTGCCTTTACATATGTGTTATTTATGTAAAGAGATTAGTTTTTAGATTAGATTGTACAAAAGGCTGGTGGCCATTAGTGAAACGCCATAAAAGTCTGTCACTTTGAAAATTAAGACATTCGGCAAGGGATGAAATAGTACTAACGCACTGAATAACAAGGCATTTCCCTTTGCTAGCAGTTCAGAGTGATTAAGAGGTGAAGCAGAAGATGATTTGGTGAAGCTAACCCAACAGCTGAGGGCTGCGCTACTGCAGCACAATGCATATGCATCAGCTCAACAAACTGTTTCGCCATCCCAAAGAAAGTGGAAAAAAAGAACTTAAAGAGACATTTCGTAAGCTCTTACTGAAAAATTGCTTAAAAATAGTCTTTTTATTTGACTCTTTATGACTAAAACATCATTTATTGAGCAGACTGACACCTCTGTAGTTCAGCATCGATGCATCTATAAGCCTACAGTCTATTTTCCTGAATTTGCGGGTCAGAAGTTACAGTTTCTGCGCTGTTCGGAGAGGTGACGTCAAGCACTTTCATTTTGAATGGGTCAAACCTTGCAAACAATCTAAGCGTTATATTCAAGTTGGATTTTGGGGCATCCAGTTCAACGCAGACACTGATGGCAGTTCCGCATAAGGCAAAAAGTGTGTGTTTAGTTCGAGTGCGAGCTATGAGAACGAATAAAAGAGTGCTGCAGCTACCATGTTCCTCCTTGACACCTAAGTGAACTGTACTGCCTTAATTAGTGACTCTTTCCAATTGGTTTAATCATACAGTTTTTCTCGTTTCCACAGAAAGCATAGCAGTCGATCCTCCAAACACATACCAATCATGCTGGTACATAGATTTAGGTTTAGTAGCTTTAAAAGTCGTGGTGAACGCTGGCTTTTTGTTATGGTGAATGCCAGCTTGTAGAGACTTACATCCACGTTGTTGAGGCTTTTTGACACAATCCGGCGACAGCTGCTATAATACGTGTTTGAGGCAGTGAGGGGGTTTAGAATTTTGAGTTCAATACCCCCATTTCAATGCTAGATGACAATAATTCTTACCCAGTGTCCCTTTAATGTAACCAATCTGATCTTAAAAATTCCTTCATTTATCTTACTAGATCTAGTAAGATTTAGACTGATGCCATAAAAAGTATTTTTAAATGACAGTAATTTTAGTTTTCCAAATACTTCTGGGCGTTAATTGGAACATGTGCTTTGATTAAATGAAGCTTAGATTTAGCGTTTCATTAACGAACATTTAAAGTGGGTTTGGTGTGAAACATCTGTAAAGATGTGTTAATAGCCCATTGTCAGATGGTGGAAGATCACTAAAGATTTAGTAAATATTTGGGGGATGTGATTTTTTTTCTTCCTCCCCTCTTTTAAGTAAGCATACTCAAATTAAAGCTTGAATTTATGTAAATGGTTCCTTGTGTTTTTTTGTCAGTGGATGCTTTTTACATATTTACAAGGTTTGCTATGATGCACAGAATCTGCTGTTTCCATGTTAAGGAAAAAGTACATTTTTCTTTGCACTATACACAATTAACCATCTGTATATAAGTAAGTTATGTACTGTATGACTGATGCTTTGTGAAGTCTGAAATAAAAAAAACAAACAAAACAAAGTATTTTGTATCATTGATGTTTTTTTTAAAGCCAGTTATTTAAAAACGGCTCTATAAATATAGTCCCTACATCTCTGCCTCAGTTTTTTAGCTCCTTTTTAATCTAACTGCAGCCCTGCTGAGGTTGGTGTCTTCTAGTCCAGACACGTTATTGTTGTAAACCACAGCCATAATAGACAACTGACAGCAGAAATGAGAACTTGAGTGTGAACAGAAAATGTGCTGAATGAGCAAATAGCAAGCTTCATGACTTAATATGGAAGCTCAGTGTCATGACTCGTCCCTGCAGGGAAATGCAAATGAACTGTTAGTGGGGAGAGAAAAAAAACAAAAAACGAATAAAATCTGTCAAGACACCTCTCATTTTGTGTTGCTTCTTTTAGACATTTAATTCCTGCTTCTACAAAGGCAGCTGTCTTGCTATCTGCAAATACGGCTAATTGCAAAAGGATTCACACTCCAACTTCATATTTTGCCACACATGGGCTTGAAAATTTAATATATTTTACTGGGAATTTTCTTGTAAAATGAAGTTAAAGCCGATTTGCGAGGTAGGAGGGGAACCTATACTCAGGGCCTGGTTCACTACAGATATGCTTGTATTAAAAAAAAAAAGAATAAAAAATGTGCAGACTTTATTGCACATGCAAAGCTGATCTGATTTATTATATGTTGGAACAAGCAAAGATGTTGAAGGAGTTGATGGAGGTAAATATAGCTGTCCAGAGTCTAATTTTGCAGCAAGTCTGATGCCTGCTTTCAGGACCTATGTCAATAAGACAGGAGCATTGACAATGTAAGATTTTTCTGTTTCTTTTAATGTTAGCTTTTTGATTCCTTTACTATTTGTAGAACATTGAGATACTTGTTTTTCAGGAACTTTATGAATAATGCTGATCATTTTTCCTTATCCTGACTACCTCCAACTCCATTTCTTCAAATTTAAGTTTGCCTTAAATGCCAGTAGCTCATGCAAAATCCTCATTTCAATTGGGTGGTGCTTACCAAGAGATTAAAGTAAATTACCAAAAACATTTCCTAATGTAAGAGTTGCACTACTTTAACATTTTTTTTACTTTGATAAAAATAGAAATATTAATCCAAGAGTTTGGCTAGTTAAGTGCTGAGTTATTGTTAAGTCATAATATTTTATTTAATGTTTAAAAGTATGTGATCAGACAGCGTGACATTTAAATCTTGGTATTTCAAAGGAGGGAAAAAATTATCACTAAATAAATTCGGGCAGGAGAACACTTCAAAATATTTTTTTCCTAACATTAACTTATAATACCAATCCTAACAGTAGGCTACCACCCATATGTAGCCTTTATTGTATTTTCACCTAATCTAACAGCCAATGTTACTTTTGGTGGAGAGTAGCGATACTCTCAATACAATATTAATGGTATAGTGGAGGATTTTCGTGAATTTTTGGAAAGACCTGCCCTCTTCACTTAAAAAAAAAAAAAATGCATGTGCACAACCCTGTACCGGTTCCCCAGAGGGATCGCTGTTAAAGAGCGTGCACTAGCCCATTTCTCTTCATGCACGCTCTGTTTAAAAGTATGCGTTTCCATCACTCATAAAAGCTTACTTTCCAAAAAATTATTTGCAATTTTTCCACTATGTCAGACTCTCCACTGGTAAATGAAAATTTACCAGTGGAGAATTTTGATGATCCACCCGGAAAAAGAACATCCTCCCCTAAGTAAATATCTAAAAGTATTGTTTAGTACTGCTACTCCTAAAAGTAGCTTTTTGTTCCTAAAGCTTGCTCAAGTTAATGTAACCGGTTATTACCCAGTAGAGGTGAGTGATACTGGGAATTTTTAATCGATATGATACCAAGTAAATACGGGGTCAGTATCGCCGATATCGATACGATACTTGGAGGAAGATGCTCTGGAGGTCTGAAAAACCTCTGTCAGTCAGGTCTGACTGAGGGTCTGTCTGGGTAATGAGCGAAGTCTTGTCTCCCTTCCCTGTTTCTGTAGCTCGACATTTTCTAGGTCATGGTTTTTCATGTGCTTTTTAAACTGCATTTAACCGGCTTTTTACAAACCATACAGCTTGCCGTTGTTTTCATTTATGGTATTTCGGCTCCTATGGTCTCTCTCTCTCCAGCGTCTGAGCAGCGCGGCTGTTTGCGTGTGGAGTGGAGAGAGAGCTTAGTGGGCGGGGCCAGGCTGAGCCTGTCTGCTGAGCCGGGGACGAGAGGGGAGGGGGGAGCAGCAATGCACTGTAATTATGCAGACGGGAGAGTGGTGAATCTGTTGCAGTCAGTGCGGGCTGGAAAGAATAAAAAGTATCGATCTTGTTAAACCAATAATGTTCAATATCAATACCAGCGTTGGTATTAATAGTATCGATCCTTGGATCGATCCGACCAACTCTACTACTAAGCTCTGCAGAAAGGGATCTGCTGCAGCCTGCAAGACGGGTGTGTCGTGTAGTGGGTGTGTCGTGTAGTGGGTGTGTTTTGTATCGATGTCACTACACGGCACGCCCACTACAGAACTGGAAATCACAGTAAACCATGTCAGAGTCTGCTAACTTACCCTAGAGTAACAGGACACTGATGCTACTCAACCTTAATATCATCCTGCCCTAACCTGGAAGGAATTTCATGTTGGAGGAATGCCACATTGTGGATGTGTTGTGTGGTGACGTCAAGAATCGGCTTTCCTCTGCTGCTCACCTGCATGCACGCACTGACTACATGTGCAATTTCGGTTTGCATAAAAAATGTAAAGCTCGTTTGGGATTTTTGGAGATCAAGGTCCTCATTTTTCCCTTTTTTCTAATTAAGTCAAATCTTACACGTATGATGTCCATGTTTATTTACCCCGCTTTTTCTTTGATACCCTTGGAGATGTTACTGCCAGACTCAAAAGGAACATTAAATAGAGATCCAGTAACTCTAGAGGAGCAACAGAGAGCCACTGCTTTGCATGTTTGGATGGAGGAGGCTGTTGACACTACTAAACTTAAATACTTTATAAATCTAGTTGCAAGGCCCTGTTCGGATGACCACATCCAGATTAGAGTAGGATTAAACTTAGTTGTCATTACACTGTCACAAGTAAAAAGCAACAAAAATCCTTCTCTTATTTAACCCATCCTTTTGGGTAG